GAGCCGCCGCGCGTCCACAGTCAGCGGGCGGTGCGGGGGGACCTGCGCGCAGAGGTCCAGAAACGACACATCTGGCCTCGCCCTGTCCCCAAGGCCTGTCCTTTGGGGGGCTGGACCATTTGTGTCGCAATCTGAGAAATCTGCTGGTGTAAGAAGAAGTCTCCATCTTGCCCGAACCTCCCCTTAGGAAGAGGGTTGGGAACTGGGAACCCTTTCCCACCACCTGGAACACAAAGGAAGGTGCTTTTTGTTTGGTTTGCTTTTGCAAACAAAATGTGCCTCCATCTGTCAATGAGAACGGGGGCGGGAGGTTCCTCCCCCTGGCTGCGGTGCCTCCCTGGCCCTGCGGGCTTGGCCACCGGGCCTTGGTGGCGATGCCTTTCGGAAAAAGAATGGCAGAACTGGGTATAAACTGGGCGGCAGTGTTCATCAAGAGAAAAGCACCTGGGAAGCTGTGACCCCCACTTTCCAGCCGGAGCGGAGAATGAGGCTCCCGGGTCCTCAGGCCCGAGCCCCGGGTGGACCCGGCCCGTGAGGAACGGTAACGAGCTGGGCCTCGGACACGGCTTGTCCAGCCGAGGCCACCCGACGGTCACCCAGGAGCAGCCAGGCAGCTCAGCCTGGAGCAGAAGAGCGAACCTGCAACCTGAGCAAAGTGTTTCCACAATAACCGGTGTCAGCAGATAGTAACTATTTGTTGAATGAATAGGTGAATGTTTACTTAATTGTTCTAGAGCGGTTACAAAGAAAAAACGCTGTGCAAGGTTGTTTTCACCATTGTCCTTGCACTGTAGTTCCTGATCCTTCTGTCAAGATAGTAAATGGGGAAAAACACACCCTTGAATTCCAATCATTATTGTTAGCCCAAGGATCTCATTCAACAAACTTCCTTTCCAGATACCACCTCCTTCCTCCTGGAAACCCCTCTTCCCAGCTCAAGCAGTCCAGGCACTGCAATCGCATCAATGGGAGACTTCCAATAAGGGCAGAAAGGGCCTTTTGAAGAGCTATTGCCTCTGAGAGAAACGGGCTCCTTGGGGGAGCATTTCCCCCACGGAATCAGCAATAAGGAAAGTGATGTCACGTGCAGGGGCGCTTGGCTGATAGTGACCTATGCACAGGCCCGGTGGCCTTGCTGAGTGCCTGCTTCCTACAGTACACAATAAATGCACTGATAAGAGGGAGTCTACCCTGGGAACCCCTCAGGGCTAGACACTTTCCCTTACTAGAGACAGGGACACTTGGGATCGTCTGGTGTTGGCAAACATAAAAGCAGAAT